AGTCCATGCAACATTCCTCTCTCATCCCAGCCCTGGTATGTTGCCAGTAGTCTGCTGTCCCTGGGTAGCAGCAAAAGATGTGTCCCACCATTCAAGGGACCCCAGCCTGGGACTAAAGTCAGTTTCAGGCTTCTCCTCTCTCCCTTCTTGGAATCAAGATCATGTTTTCACCATGAGTTAAAGCAGTCTGAACACCCAGAGTCTGGATCAATGTCACAAGTTCCCAGTGTCTCCATGGAAGATAATTGGTTAAATCCCAGATGAGTGGAGTTATATCAGTTCTCAGCCCGAGTCCTTTGCTCTTAATCCTGAGGATATTGTCCCACCATGGGGCCATTTTCTGCCTCTCTTTCATACAGAAGCACAATTTTCTTTGCACAGACACAGGAACAGCAAGATCTTTCTCTATCCCTTGTGCAAATCAGGGTGCCAAATTCCATGGAAACAATGGACAAGCATGGGGCCCTGGGCTGTGAGATGTTCCCTCCCCTCTTTCTTTATGCTGCTGCTGTTGTTATTTCATGGATTGTCTGGGATGGGGAAAAAGCTGAGTTCACTCCAAGTGGAGGGGAGTAAGAACAGTGAAAATCTCAGGACCCCACCCCTGCTACCAGGATCACTGAGGTGCTGGGAATCTGCATGGGAAAGGGACTGTGTGAATTGTCAAAGTGGAGAATGAATAAGAATCTACAACAAGATCTACCTCATTGATCACTGACACAGGCTAATCATGCTGCAGATAGAAGGGAAACCGGGAGCGATTCTTTGCTGTTCAGCCATGGAAACAGTGACCCAACTGCACCGCAATGAATGTGCTTGGGAAAGCTGGACTTTACAAGCAGGTGAAAATAGCAGATCCTAAAAATACCTGGAGCTCTCCATACCACTTCTGCCACCAGGGTCAGGTGTTGAGCTGCTCACAGTGCCCCCCACCACCATTATCTTCCAGCAGGGGATTGCAGCACTCCCCACCCAATGCAGGGGAGAGGCCTGATTCTTCTATCTTTGCACCCTGAGTCCAGGGCACACACTCTGCCTCACTCATCGAATCTGGCCCTGCTGCAAAGTGACTCCAAAGAACCACCAACCTCCAGGACAGCAGGTTTTGCCCTCAGAGCAGGGAATGTGTCCCCCATACTGCTTTTAGGCCACTGGATGCTCTGGAAATAGGAGGGCTCTGCCTGTACACAGCCCACCTAGGGATGTAGCTCAGTGGTAGAGCATATGCTTTGCATGTATGAGGTCCTGGGTTCAATGCCCAGTATCTCCCAGTACTTTTTTTCAACCTGCTGCTTTGCTCATGCCCAGAGGGGATGTGGCCCAGCAATCTCCCTGCATGAGTTTCAATCCAGCTCAGTGAAGGACAAGTGACAATTGCATGGAAGGTCTGTGGGGGTTTCTGCTCCTAAGTCACTTTGGTACATTTAAGATTCCCACATGCTGTGCTGCTTGGCACAATGGTAGATAAGAAGGGCGAATCCTCCCAGCACTGGAAGGAAAGGTCCCATCTGCACAGACTGAGAGGCAAGGAAACAAAGGGGCAGTCAATGCTCAGAGAGGAGAGAGGTCAGTGATTTACACCCAACAGGGGACACTGTCTTTTTGAGGTGAGTGCAGCTTGCTTGGGATGGTGCTGATGACGGATAAAACAAAAGCTGGAGTCAATGACAGACGATACCATAGAAGGGGAGGGGAATGGCAGCCCCACAGAAGGTCCTGGGTGCTCAGATGCCCCAGTTATTGCACCCTGGCTGTCATAGAGAGAGAAAAGACACGGAGGGATGCAGCCCCCCTACAGGGATCCTATGGACAAGAACTTGCTTGGGAGTGGTGTGAAGGTTCCCTCTGGGCAAAGGGGAGCTGAAATCCCTCAGTGTCCTGCAACTTAAGTAATGCAAGCTTCAAACCCTGCATGGGTGTGGGCTGAGGTGCATCAGCAGAAAGTTGGGCTGGACATGGGTGGCAGGTTTGTATAATTTTTGGTGGTGCCCAGAATGGGACAAAATCCAGCCCCCGACACACACACACACACCTGCCTAAGGCTCTGGGGGAGGGAGTTTGGGTGTGGGACGAAGAGGGGTTGGGCTCTAGGAGAGAGTTTGGGTGCAGAGTCTGGGCTCAGTCGGGGGTTGGGGTGCAGGAGAGAGTGTAGGGGGCAGGCTCTTGGAGAGAGGTTGGATGCAGGTGTGGGGTCTGGGTTGGGGCAGGGGGTTGGGGGTGCACAAGAGGGTGAGGGGTGCAGGATTTACCTTGGGCATCTCCCAAAAGCAACCTGAACCCCCCTCTGGCAGCAGCCCCTAAGCGGGAGGGCCGGGGCATCTCTGCGCACCACTGCCTGCAAACTCCACCCCCGCAGCTCCCATTCCAACAGTTGGCAGAGTTGGCAATCGGGGCGGGGGCAGCACGTGGAGCCCCCCCACCTCAGGGGCCAAAGGGACGTGCCAGTCGCTTCCAGGAGTGGCGTGCCACATGGAGCAAGGGTGGGCAGAAAGTCACCTTAACCCCCTTGTGCTGTTGGTGGTGGTGGTGGGGGTCCCTGGGCCCTTTTAAATTTCTCAGGGGTGGCAGGCGAGACTGGGGGGACACTCCCAAGGGCCTAACATTGCTTTGCACAATGATAAATCTTGGAACAGGATAGAAATGAAATGGCAGCAGAACCTAAGGAATTAAAAGCCTCCGGATTCTTGTGTGTGCCCTGACTCCGAATGGAAACTGTAATTTGATTCGCTTTGTGTCTGCGGCTGGTAAAATATCAGGACAAAGTCATTCCAGCGATTGTGACACTGGGTTTGAGGAGGCTTTGGTCTTATTAAAATGTAATTAGCATGTTACACTTGTATTTTTAAAGGTGGCTTCCCCAAGCAATCCCAAGTTGTTCTTCCCACAGCTGGCTGATGGTGGGCAGCAGGGGTCTCCCCAATCTGTGGGGGAAATCTCTCTGGGCCCCACTGTCAGTTCTCCATCCTTTCTGCCCCTATCCATGCACACTACTCCCCTCCCCATTATCAATGTTTTAGAGTGACCCCTCCCTTTATGGGATTCAGACTCTCTGTGGCAGAGACTGACTGGGGTTCCTCTCTGCATTGCCCCCGTGGGGAAGGAAAGAGACTGGGGGGGAGAGAGAAGATGAGCAGAATAGAGAGAAAAACCAGAATAGAGTTTTGCTTCCTGTTAAAATGTACTGGAGTCTCATCGCTGAAAAGCCGCATCTTGAGTTAGGTTTGATGCAGCAGCATTTCAATTACCAGGCAAAGGTGTGAACCACAGAGACTGATAACTGCCTACTTCCCAGCTTTGTCTAAAAAGCACCTGCACTGGTGCAACTGGTTAGTACAAAAGGGAATACTGCTGGCGTTATAAGTTCAAGCCTTACCTGGAGCCCTTGTTTCTGTTACTCATGTAGCTTCCCCAACTTGCTTTGCCTTATTCACATGGAAAGTGCCATACTAGGGAAAGGAAAATAAATTCTGAAGTGGGGTGCATAGCTTGGAAACCTCCACCCAGTACTGCCATTAGTTCCAGTACATTATTCACTGGCAGGGCGAATTGATTTATTTGCTGCTGTGAAAGCTGCCAGGACAGGTCTCTGGGCACCAGATCTCCCTGCTTCTTCCAGCACACCCCTGGCTCCTTCCCTGCCCAGTCACTGCTGTAGAGGGTCCTATATGCACTGAACCTAAAACTTTTCCAAGCCTTCTTAGCACAGTTGGCAGCACATCAGTCACATAATCTGAAGGTCCTAAGCTCAAGTCTCAGAGGAAGCAAGGGCTTGGCTCCCTGCTTCAGATTTTCTAAAGGAAATCAGAGAAAAGAAACTGTAGGAGAGTGGTTTCTAGACACCCTCCCACCCATCTAACACACACACACACAGACTTTTCTAAGGCATTATATTTTCCTTCTCTATGGAGTTTGTATTCTCCATAGAACAAAATAAAACAAAAACATGCAAGTCTAAGCCTAATACAGTATGAAACTCAATACAGATAAAATCTCACCCTCAGAGATCTTCCAATAAGCTTCTTTCGCAGACTAGACTTATTTCTTGTCTGGGCCCAACCTTTTCACCTGGTATAGTCCTTGTTCAAGCTCAGGTGGTAGCTAGGGGATTTCTCATGACTGCAGCCACCTTTCTTCTGTCCTACCCCCTTATACAGCTTTGGTACAAGGCAGGAAACTTTTGTCTCTCTCCTGGGGAAAAGCCCCAGATGGATTCCCATACCAGGTGACATGGTCACATGTCCTGTGAGACCCCCCCCCCCCCAAGCCTTCATTCTTCCTGGCCTGACTCACAGATGGTGCAGGACAGAGCCATCTATAGTCAACTGTCCTGGTTAATGGGAGCCATCAAGATTCCAAACCACTATTAATGGCCCACACTTTGCATAATTACAACAGGACCTCAGAGTTATATTTCATATTTCTAGTTAGAGATACAAGAATGATACATTCATACAAATAGGATGAACACACACAGTAGATTATAAGCTTTCTAATGCTACCTTACAAAAGACCTTTTGCATGAAGCATATTCCAGTTACATTATATTCACACTCATCATATTTTCATAAAATGACATGAAGGGCAATGTCACAGCAGGGAAAGGGTTTTACTGCGGCACCTGGGAGCAGTTGAGTTTCATGTTCAGGCTGTGGTATTAGTTCCTCCAGGTTTCTCATAAGCACACAGAGACCTTAGCAGGTGCTCTCGATACAGGAATGGCCCCGATATGATAAAGTGATGGGGATTGCATTTTCCATTTTTATTTTTATATTTCCAATGACATTTCTGTTTGTGATTTCGTTTTGCTTTGTATAACTGTGTTTTCTCCTGGATTTAATATTTAACTAAAAAAAGAATAAGGCCTCAGGGCGCCGGATGGAGAAGCAGGCTGGGGCTAGGACTGCTAAGAGAGCAAGAGTAGCACATTTTCTGTAGGTTTTCTGCTCCCTTTTTCTTGATTAGTTTTTCTTCTGCATGAAATCTGCCTCTTTGATATGTGAGCCTGGCTAGCTCAGTTTGTAGAGCATCAGATTTTTAATCTGAGGGTCCAGGGTTCAAGTCCCTAGGCAGGCAGAGACCTTTTCTTCCTATGATATCCTCCAAAAATGTCAGAAGGACTCTCCTTAACTTCAGCTTTTCCTTTTCAGGACTTGGCCTTTCCTAGGAAGGGCCCTTTACTGCCTGTGACCGAAGGTACTACTTCCTCACCTGTCCACTGGCCTCGCAGTCTGGAGGAAGAAAGGCCTCTGGGCCTGCAGCAAAGTGCTGTGTGCTGACTTTTTGAACAAATGCAGGGCTGGCCAGAAAGGCATGTTCCCACTGGGTCCTCCCTGCCAAAAAAAATTGTCCCCACAGAGTCCTCCCTGCTGGGAGTCAACAGAGATCAAGGGTTCCCTTGCTGGTCCCATGGTGTAAGGGCCAGCACTCAGGGCTTTGAATCCTGCAATCAAAGTTTGTCTCAATGGGACCTTGGGGTCCTTTGGTTGCCAGCTAACCATACTGGGATTTCCAAAGCTTCATCTTGCGCTCTCAAATGACATGGTAGCCTGTCTTTTGCCCGCTAGCTCTTGTGACTTGAGTGCAAGAGGGGATGTTTGATCCAGAAGGCTGGCCATGCTTGGAGTCCTATAGGTAGGATGCGAGCTCCATTTCCTGTGAGTCCTGAAGCTGGGCTGCAGCCTGGCCTAGGAGGCAGCCCTATTGGTTGACCTACTGGTCCAAAGTCACTTGGACAGTGTTGGTGTTCCCCAGAAATGCTGAAGGACTGGCCTAAGGGAGGGAGGCTTAATATTCCTCCCTATCAGTCAGGGCAGAAGAGGAGGGCTACGAAAGTGGGCAGGTTGATGAGCTGGGCCTTCTAGCATTCGGTTGGTGATGAGGTGGGGAACACGAACTGAGAGAAGCGGTTGCTAGTCTGTGAGGAATGGCTCAGCCGGTGGCATAAGTGGACCTTGTCATTAGCATACAAAATTGTGATGCTCGAGACCTATCTTTCGGCTGTGGGGAATTTCCTCAGCCATGTATTTCCCGCTGCTCCACGAGTGCTGCTGAGACTGATGGCCTTCCACTTCTTGTGGGGCAATAGGATGTCCCTACCTAGTCAGGAGAAGTGTGGCTTTTCTGCCATATTAGAAGAGGGGTTGTGCCTGGTGGGCATTGAATCCTTTTACGGCTCTACTTCTTTGTTTTTCAATTTTCAGGGATGGCTGTGCTGGAGGTCAGGTCAGACCCTAGGGGAATGGCGGGGCAACCACAAAGAACCCAACTGACTCTTCGGATATGCCGTATTTTTTCTGACCCCACTGGGTGCAGCACTGGATATAGGATGGCCGATGGTGGTGGAAGGGGGAGGAAATTAGGAAGCCCCCCCCCCATTTAGTGTTCTTCTACTCCCACCTTACATCTTACAGGATTTTCAGTGCGTGGCTACATGGAAGGTACTTGCAGGATGACTTCATCCACAACTGTGGCCTCCCTCACAGCAGCGGCAGCCACAGCAGCGAGGCCCCCGCTTCGGCTCAGTCTGAACAGAGGTCAAAGTACCACTGGGTGAGACAGGCCAATTTTAGGGAGTTTCCTCTGAAGGTGCGCAGCTGTCCCCAGAACTTACTGACAGGAGCTTTAAAGTATTTGCAAATGTGCACGGCCGGCATGTGCAGAGCAAACGCTGCCCAGGGGCACTGCGCCAGGCTCTGGCACCACTTGAGACACTGGACCTCCTTCAGCCACCAGGTAACCAAGGATCTAAGGCAGGAATGGGATGAGGAAGCAAGTCAAGCTGAGCAAGGCAGGTAAAAATTCATCTTGCCTTCATGGGTGCTCACAATGATGCCCTTTTTGTGTACCATGGCTGACAAAAACATCCCAGACAGAGAAGCAGCAGGCCAAAATTGCCTTTCAGATGCTGAAGTAGCTCAGTTGGGAAAGCATTAGACTGAAAATCTAGAGATTGCTGGTTCAATCCCACGCTTTGGCAGGCTCTTTGGTCCCTTTGTGTGTGGGGGTGGGCTGTTTCCTGGATGTGCAGCAGTACCTTTACCTGCCAGAAGTCCCTTATTTCATGCTCCCCAGCAGGAAAAAGCAGCGTGGGTTTGTGTACCAAGTTGGCCCTCATGAGGTATCTTTCTTCTCTTGGTCTTTCTCAGCAAGGAGAAGAAAAAGAAGCTCTCCTTCAAGCTGGAGTTAGAAGGGTGACGTAAGGATGATTTCCTGAGCACCGGCTCCAGTCCTTTGCTCTACCAGCTGACCTATCGAAGGGCTGCCACCACTTTCTCCACGTTCACCCATCAGTGTGTTCAGAATGGAGAGGGGTAACTAGTGGTGTTCCCCAATGGTCTGTCCTAGGACCAATCCTATTCAACTTATTCATAAATGATCTGAAGAAAGGGGTAAACAGTGAGGTGGCAACATTTGCAGATGATACTAAACTGCTCAAGATAGTTAGGACCAAAGCAGACTCTGAAGAACTTCAAAGAGATTACACAAAATTAAGCGACTGGGCAACAAAATGGCAAATGAAATTTAATGTGGATAAATGTCAAGTAATGTACATTGGAAAAAATAACCTCAACTACACATACAATATGATGGGGGCTAATTTAGCTACAACTAATCAGGAAAGAGATCTTGGAGCCATCATGAATAGTTCTCTGAAGACGACCACACAGTGTGCAGCAGCAGTCAAAAAAGCCAACAGGATGTTAGGAATCATTAAAAAAAGGATAGAGAATAAGATGGAGAATACCTTATTGCCCGTATAGAAATCCATGGTACACTCACATCTTGAATACTGCGTACAGATGTGGTATCCTCATCTCAAAGAAGATATACTGACATTAGAAAAGGTTCAGAGAAGAGCAACTTAAATGATTAGGGTTTGGAACGGATTCCATATGAGGAGAGATTAAAGAGACTAGGACTTTTCAGCTTGGGTGACCAGATGTCCCGATTTTATAGGGACAGTCTCGATTTTGGGGCCTTTTTCTTATATAGGCTCCTATTACCCCCTACCCCCTGTCCTGATTTTTCACACTTGCTGTCTGGTCACCCTAGGGTGTGCACATGTGTGGGTCCCAGCTGCTCCCTGCCCCCCCTCATTGAAGCAGGTGTGCAGCGTTACTGCCCTGGGAACTGCAGTGCACCAGTGGACATGGGGCTGGCTACAGACAGGGGCCTGGGGCAGGGCTAGCTGGAGGTAAGGGGTGCAACATGGGCTGGCTGCGACAGGGGCTGGCTGTGGGTAGGGGATGTGACAGGGGTTGGCTGTGGGCAGGGGCTGGCTGTGGGCACGGGGTGCGACAGGGGCTGGCTGCGGGCACAGGGTGCGACAGGGGCTGGCTGCAGGCAAGGGGGTGCGACAGGGGCTGGCTGCAGGCAGGGTTACAGGTACTCACATGGGAAGAACTGCTGGGATTAGCCGGAGTAGTGGGACACAGCCCAGGCCCAGCAGAGGAGCCAGGGACCCACCAGGTAGCAGCAGGAACCCCAGGGCCAGAGGTCCAAGGAGCAGCAGCAGCAACAGGGCCAGGAGGCATCCCACCTGGCTCCTCTAGCGCAGCGCCCCCGGTGGCCGGGAGGAGGAATTACATGCTTCCCGGCTGGAGTCCATCAAAGCTTCCCTCGCAGGGAAGCCAGTTAACAATATACATTGGCCAAACCGGACAGTCTCTACATAAAAGAATAAATGGACACAAATCAGATGTCAAGAATTATAACATTCAAAAACCAGTCAGAGAACACTTCAATCTCCCTGGTCACTCGATTACAAACCTAGAAGTTGCAATATTACAACAACAAAACTTTAAAAACAGACTCCAACGAGAGACTGCTGAATTGGAATTAATTTGCAAACTGGACACCATTAAATTAGGAATGAATAAAGACTGGGAGTGGATGGGTCATTACACAAAGTAAAACTATTTCCCTATGTTTATTTCCCCCCCTACTGTTATTCACACCTTCTTGTCAACTGTTGGAAATGGGCTATCCTGATGATCACTACAAAAGGTTTTTTTCTCCTGCTGATAATAGCTCACCTTAACTGATCACTCTCCTTATAGTGTGTATGGGAACACCCATTTTTTCATGTTCTCTGTGTATATCTCTCTCTCTCTTCCTACTGTATTTTCCACTGCATACATCCCATGAAGTGGGTTTCAGCCCACGAAAGCTTATGCTCAAATAAATTTGTTAGTCTCTAAGATGTCACAAGTACTCCTCTTTCTATTTGCAGATAAATTAATGGAGGTTAAGTCCATTAATGGCTATTAGCCAGGATGGGTAAGGAATGGTAACCCTAGCCTCTGTGTGTCAGAGGGTGGAGATGAATGGCAGGAGAGAGATCACTTGGTCATTACCTGTTAGGTTCACTCCCTCTGGGACATCTGGCATTGGCCACTGTTGGCAGACAGGATACTGGGCTGGATGGACCTTTGGTCTGACCCAGTATGGCTGTTCTTATGAAGGGAAAGGCAGAGCCCTGCAACAGAGTTTCTTTAGTGTAGTGGTTACCATGGTTGCTTAACACCCGAAAGACTTTTGGTTTGAAACCAGGCAGAAACATGATGATTTACTTTCCCCAGCTCCCCTAGCAGTCCAGCAATGTGCTCCTACTGCTGCCACTGGCCTGTCCCTGCAATAACCCCAATCCCTGCATGATAGAGGGTGGTGAAATGAGCTGAGAAAAAGCCTTAGTAGCAGCAGGGGAAAGCTAGAGGATCTAGGCCAGTCATCCTTTGAAGCCGTGTGGCTTGGCCTCCTCTGCCCTGGGAATTTGGCCTATGGAGGCCAGCTCTTCCTGCTGGCTTCCTTTGCATGACTTGCCAAAGGAGGAAGTGAAGCAGGAATGGGGCAAAAGAGGAAAGTCATGCTGAGGAAGGCAGGGCAGAAGCTAAGCGCCTCAGTGTGGGTAAGTGGGGTTAGTAGAGCACCACCATTTGTTCTGCCAAAGCCTGGGGAGGTGCAGTTGGCTGCAGGGAGGTAGAATCCTGTGCCCGCCTCTTGGCTTCCCAGGGATGGCTACTTGCAGCCCAGGAGAAGAAGGATGGTTCTGGGTGAAAGGAAGACAAGTAAAGCTATGGGAGGAAATTTGGGTGCAGGGTGCAGGCTCTGCGCTGGAGCAAGGGATTGGGATGCAGGAGGGGTGGCGCTTACCCCAGGCACTGCAGCTCCCAAAGTGACCGGTACACACAACCCTCCAGCAGCAGCTCCTAGGTCGGTGGGGTCAGGGGGTCTCTGTGGGCCGCTGCCTGCAGGTGCAGCCCCCAGAGCTCACATTGGCTACAGTTCCTGGCCTATGGGAGCTGCGGAGTTGGTACTTGGGGCAGGGGCAGCACATGGAGACACTCCCCCACCCCAGGGGATGCCAGCCACTTCTGGGAGCAGCACGGAGAGATGGAGGTAGAGTGGGCAGGGAGCCACCTTAGTGCTGCTGGCACATCTCTGCACACCCAATGGGGGAGGGGAGCAGAGGGCCTCCATGCACTGCCTGGGGTAGGGGCAGTGCACAGAGCTGACTCCCCTCCCAAGGTTAGGGGTCTATTACAGGAGTGGGTAGGTGGGGTCTTTTGGCCTGCAAAGTGCAGCAGGTCGGACTAGATAATCACACTGGTCCTTTTTGACCTTAAAAGGCTCTGAGTCTAAAAGGGAGAGGGAAGTAAAGGATTTTTTTTAAAAAATAAACCAAACATTATAGTAGAAGGATGATTCCAACAGCTCACCGTATAGTCTCACCCCTTTCTTTCTCCACTGGGTGTTTAATGATCTGCTGGGATTTGGGACATTAATTTTCTCATTCCATTGATAAGCTGATATAACATGACTGTAATTAAACCAATTCCCAGTGAAGAAAACATCACATCATTGCATTGGCTGGGAATCAAACCCAGGTCAACTGCTTGGAAAACAGGTATGCTCACCACTATACCACCAACACATCTGGCAAAAGTACCTCTCCTATTTGCCACTTATGCTTGCCAAATGACTCACCCCTCCCCAAGCTAAGGAGCTGGCTGGAAGCAGTGTGTCCCCTGTGACCAGAGACCACAAAATTCCAAAGCTTTTCACTGAAAGGAGGGAAAGAAAATGGCCACAATATGGCGCCAGGACATAAGGAAGGTAACAACACCATTCTTAGGGATAGGCCATTCTTTTTCTGTCAAGGTCCAAAATTGTTGGTCAAGGTCCAGTCAAAGTCCAGACTCCAGAGAAAATAATTATAATAAAAAATAACAATAATGATGATAATAATAAGTAAATAAAAAGATTTTGGGGTCCATTCAAAAGCGATTTGGCCCACCGTCTGCCTACTGATTACCCCACATTGACTCTGAGAAGTGATTTATCTCCTCTATCTTGGATTTGAAGAGCTGGTTAGTTTTACCCTTGGTATCCCACCAGGCTGACCAAGCCATGTTATCGATGGTGACACTAGGACTGAAGGATTATATCACATTATAAAAAAATTGTAAATAAACATGTCGTCAGAACTTGAGTGTTCTGTAATGGAAGGCTGGTTCAGTTCCAAATGCTCTGTTAGAAACAAGCCCGGGACCCCCACATTCCCCAGGAGGAGTGAAAGGAGAAACCCCCAGCTCTGCACTTAGCTCCAGGTTGATTTATTGGGGGAATGGGGGAGAAATTATTCTTTGCTGCTGAGCAGGGAGCTAGGGCAGTTCTCCGGAAATCAAGGTGCCCAGCCTGACCCAGCTGCTCTAGTGCCCCGCAGGGCCCTGCAGGCTCAGACCGTCCCTGAGGCCAGGCAGCTGCTCGGTGAGCTCTCCTGGTGTAGCTGACAGTGCCTGGATATCCCACTCTCAGGGCCTGAGTTCAGCCACCAGGAAAGGCAGCAACTTTACTCCCTCCTTCTAAACAGAGCTCCCAGGCAGTGGTTCTCAACTAGGGGTCCCTGGTTTAGGGGGGCAGCAAGCAGGTCTCAGCCTCTCCCTCCCCTCACAGACACACTCCATAGTCCTCCCCCTTACAGCCCCTCCCTCTCACACTGACATTCCCATGGACCCTCCCCCTCACACTGACACCCCCATGGACCCTCCCTCTCACAGCCCCTCCCCCTCACACTGACACCCACGTGGACCCTCCCCCTCATAGCCTCTCCTTTCACACATAGAGGGACATGTTTGCTGGAGCCTGACATTACAAACCTAGGGGTGAGATTTTATGGATGTGGAATTCTCCCAACCACATATTAAACCCCCAAGCCCCCCAGTGCAAGGACTCCCCAAGCTAGTTGAGTCCATACGTGGGTCACTCTTTTCATCACACCAGATGGCTTCCTTTGAGCAACTACCTTTTGAGGCCAACAAGAAACCTTTTAGTTTGGGCTCATTATGCACCACATTTACCAGTTGTCCTGGGCTCATTGCCCGTGACCTGCACGTTTGCTGGCTGTCAGACGTGACACCCTTTGATCCCTGCCTCACCTACAATCCTTGGTCTCAAGCTTGAACCCAAGACCAGAAATTTGTGGCAGCTTATGCAGCCCTGTAGAGAATTCAAAGACACAAAGAGAAGATCCATAGGTGACCTTGGCAAACCCCATAAGAACGGCCAGACTGGGTCAGACCAAAGGTCCATCTAGCCCAGTATCCTGTCCTCTGACAGTGGCCAATGCCAGGTGCCCCAGAGGGAACTAACAAAACAGGCTTCCTGGGAACATCTGCCCCCTTCCACCACAAGAGCAAGCAGGCAGCTAACGGGGGGAGGGGGGGGAAGTCCCAGGAACCCTTCCTCTTTTTCTCCACAGCCACTGCCCATCAGTAAGATTCCTCCTCCTCCTCCCTCCTGTGCCTCAGTGCGACTAAATCTCTGCACCTAGACAGCCAGTCTGTCCGCTGCACCCTGATCCCCCATGCTTAAGCCTCCCTGCCAAAGTCCTGCACCTGGCTCCAAAGAACTAAGTCTCACATCTCGCTGGCAACTCGACTTCTAGTGCGCAGAGTGTCTCTGCCCCCTCAGTAGATGACTGGAGAAACTTAGTGTCCGCCTTTTCTAAAGAAGTGCTTGGAGAGGATTTTCTCATGTGACCGTGTGCCCTAATGGATAAGGCGCCTGACTTCGGATCAGGCGATTGACGGTTTGAGTTCCTTCACGGTTGTGCTTGTACGGTTTTCCCTTTGTACTGAAAGTCCTGCTCTCTTCTTGGCTGCTCAGGCCAATGCTCTGGCTTCAGCTAGAGCCCTGGGAAGGAGTTAGGGATAGGACATCACAAAGGCTGGGGTATGAGCCCCAGGTCTTCCAGTCTAGCCTTTACCATTCCTGACTTACCAAAGAAAATGGGCGACTGCCTGGGCTAGAGTGTAGAGCAGTTTCCCTCTTCCAAACATGCGCCCATCCCTTTGCTTGAGGGGGCTTGCTAAATAGCGCCTTTGGAGCCTGGGTGATTCGCTGCTTCTCACCAGCTGGGGAAAAGCCTTTTGGATTAAAATCTCCTGCCCTACTGCAAAAGTGAGCACCTTGAGTGAGAAGGTAAGAGGCCCCACCAGGGGGGCTGGCCCTGCTTTCCTACAACATTCTGTTGTTGGCCACAGAGCATCAACAGCCGCTGTCTGTGGGTGGCCTTCAGTGGGTGTTTGGCATGCCAGGGAGCAGGCTGGCCGGATGTCTTTGTGGCTGTCAGCTGGACATGCATAGGCCTCGTTCTCCTCACCCTTGGTTACTCTGTTGCTTTTAAGCTTTCCCTTGGAGCTGTCAGCACCAGCCACCTCTGCTCTAGGTGCCCAGAGGAGGAAAGGTCTGTTGGGCTCCAGCCTGGGACTCTTCATCCCTCCTGCCTATCCCTGACTATGAAGCCTGGCCCTGGCACTCCTGTCCTTGTGGGCAAGAGGAAAAGTGTGGCAGCAAGCACAAGGGCCAAACATGTGGGCATCAGGTGAAGCAGCGAGAATCCCAACCATCAGGTCAAACCGCAGGACTGCAGGCATCGGTAGCCAGGGTGGCAAGTTCTAGAGGCCCAACCCACTGCCACCATCCCATCATGCCATCCCAACCGAAGCCCTGGCTCCATTGGGCGTGAGTCACCCAGCCGGAGGGAAAAGACTCGCTCTTTCACAACTGGAGCCAGGGAAGGTGAGCACTTTGAGCGCCATGGCTTTGCCGCAAGCAAAGATGAGGTCCCACTGATATTTGAATTCAGATTGCAGGATTCAGAGTCCTGAGTGCTGACCGTTACACCATGGAACCAGCTTGTGCTGTTTTCTCTGGACATCTGTGACCCTCACGGGGCTGGCTTGTGTAAGGGGATTGCCCTGTATCTCCATGAGAGTTTCATGGAGATCTCTAGCGCAGATTCCCGAGAAGTAAGGGAGTCAATCATCACCCTGTTCTGCCGTCCAGACTAGGCCTGGAGTGATACACACATCATACAGACACAAGCCTGCTTTCTGCAACCCTCCTGCCCCCAAGAAGTCACTTCAGAAATTCCCAAAATCAAAGCCACTTACCAGTTGCCTCCTCTCCTGTTTGCGCTTCGCCAAGCTCCAACAGCTGTGACTGCCTAGCCTCCTCTGGGGTAGAGAAGAACTCCTGGCTGCATGCATCTTTGACCTCTGCCTCATCCTCTGCCTCTGGGTCTCCCTCCGCCTCCACATCCTCATACAAGATTTCCTCCTCCTGGTTCGGTCCACTCTCGACTGGCACGTGAGCCACCGAAGTATCCACCGTGGCCTTCGCAGTGGAGGTGGGGTCACCACCAAGTATTGCATCCAGCTCTTTGTAGAACCGGGAGCTTGTGGGTGCAGCACCAGAGTGGCAGTTTGCCTCCTGTGCCATGGAGTAGGAATTCTGCAGCTCCTTTACTTTGACCCTGCATTGCAGTGTGTCCTGGTCATGGCCCCTTTCTCTCATGCATCGTGAAATATGTCCATACGTATCATAATTTCTATGGCTGGAGCACAGCTGGGACTGGACAGCCTCCTCTCCCCAAATGCTGATGAGGTCCAGCAGCTGAACATTGCTCCAAGCGAGGGATTGCCTGGTGTGTGGAGCAGGCATGGCCACTTGGAAAGATGTGCTGAGACTGCTGCATGCATCACCGAGCAAACAGGAAGGGGATTTTCAAAATTCCCAAGGAATTTAAGGTGTGGGGTTCATGGTTGGTCACCTGAAGGCAGTGCAGTAGAATTCAAAGAGAGGCAAGAGCAGGGATTGTGGGACACCTCCCGGATGCTAATCGCAGCACTGTAATTGACAAGGGTGTCTACACTGGCACTACAGTGCTGTAGCACTGGCACAGAAAGCTGTTCACCTCTCGTCAGCATGGTTTTTTTTACAGCGCTGCAACTGCTCAGTTTCTGCGCAGTAAGTGGCTTGGCAGTGCATACACCTCGGGAGTGACACTGCAGAAAGCTGCTTTCCTAAGCAGAAACTTGCCAGCGTAGACAAGGCTGTAGATGGCTTACATAAGAATTCAAGACTGGTCATACTGGGTCAGACCAATGGTCCATCTAGCCCAGTGTGCTGCCTGAGAGTGACCAGTACCAGAGGCATCAGAGGGAATGAACAGAACAGGCTTGTTGATCTGCAAGGTGAAGGTCTATCACCCTTACCTTTAACTTTATTGTTGTGAATTCCTATTTATCCTATCTTACCACACCTGCCCCGAGGTCTCTGGACAAATCAGCTGTGAACCACTCCTTTGATACAGACATGTCCCAATCCAGCTGAATTGAGGCAGACTTTGGGCCAATGTCAGTTTGGAAAAGGCCCGCTGAACCCAGCAGGTTTCTCAAAGTATCTGATGCTGTGAACTGCATGTAGTGTGGATGTGTGAACCCCAAAGATATCAAACATGAAAGAAACACAAGGCCAGTTTTGGGGAGGTTTCCAGAGCCAGGCCTGAGGGTTAAACAGCTGTGCTCAAAAGGAAAAGGGGCTCAGCACCTACAAAAATATCTGGTTGCAAAATTTAAATTACATTAAAAAACCAAACCAAACCAAAAAACAAACAAACAAAACCAGGAAAGCTACCATCACACAGCCATCAGATTTTGACATCTCCTGCCTGATGTGACATCTTTGCTTTGCAAACAAGAGACCTGGAGAACTCTGTGGCTGTTACCTTCTAACTGGTTAAAAGGTTCCAAATCTTGTGTCAAGTAATTTTCCTCCTAACAGAAGATTTAAAATTTATCAAAATAAATTCCATTTTAAATAAAAATAATTACAGTCTATACTGGGTCTCTATTCTCATACAGGCTATTTCTCTCACATATTCCTCCAATCTAATTCCTTTGGAGTGAGGTTTTAATTTCAGGATTATCCACCATTTCCTATGTAGTAGGAGGCGGCAGGGAGAGAAATAGAAGAAAACCTGAATTATATTGCAACACATCATCAACCTCTTCTGTGACACTAATTAACTTCATGTTTAATTTCATTGTTGCTGGTAACAACTTATTCAATGATTACAAAATATAAACTGATAGGGCAGTTTTCTCTTAATTCCCATTTCCACCCAGTCAGCTTTGTGTGAAGTCACATTCTATAATAACCTAGGAGGCTTCCATTTCTGTGAGTTCATTTCTCCCCGGGTCTTCTCCCAGAAGTGTGGGTGGAAGGGGTCTCAAACTACGTGGGAAGGCTGCATCATGAGAAAAACCACCTGTGCTCTATTTTCACACTTTCTAATCCTTCAAAGTAACAGCAGGAGGAGAACTGATACAAATGCATTAGACTTAATAGCAAATCTAAGAGACCAAACCACAGACTCTGGACTTAGCATTATTCATGTATCCTGCAGTCTGAACTTGGAATCTGATACATTCCCAGACTGGCTACAATCATTTGCCCAGCATGGAAATGCTTCTTGTCCAACAAGGCAGACAGATTGGGACTCATAGGCATGGAATGGCTATGAGGGAATCAGCTGTTTCTCTCTGTGCTTCATGAAACTTTGGATCCAAATTGTAAAAGGCAGTTGTGCCCAATTTAATCATGGCATCCTTTAGGAGTGTGACCAATGCCACTTAAGGGAGCAAGGTTCTAAAAATAGTTTACCTGGGCCACAGGTCACCATAGCTTCCATCTCTGGGGTGAAAATCAACCACTAGTTCCTGCAATTTCTACCTGACTTCTTGTCAAATCTTTGACCTCACTAAGGCCTTGGCTACACTTGCAGATGTACAGCGCTGTGAGTTAAACCTGACTTCGTGCCGCTGAGTAGGGAGAGCGCTGCCGTCTGTCCACACTGACAGCTGCCCAGCGCACTATCGTGGCCACATTTGCGGCAATTGCAGCGCTATTGGGAGCGGTGCATTATGGGCAGCTATCCCACAGAGCACCTTTTCCCATTCTGGCGCCGTGGGTTGTGGGAAGGGGGCGTGGGTGCGGGGGATTCTGGGTCCTGTCCCAATGCCCCATGATGCATCGCGTCGCATCCCAGAAATCCCTTTGTTTCTGTCCACCTTTGGCGCCATCTTTCAATGGTTTCTGTGCAGCGCGATCTGTCTGCGGGAAATGGAGTCCGAACTGCTGAGGCATATGCGGACGAGTCTCGCCAGCACGTCACGTTTGGCTATCGAACTATTCCTTAAGATCCAAAGTGACAGTGAGAGTGAGGGTGAGGATTCCGACGATGCTATCGAGACGCGTAATGCGTACGACACGAAATTGCTTGTGGCATTCACGGACATGCTTAGCACCATGGAAGGCCGCTTTTGGGTTCGGGAAACAAGCACCAAGTGGTTGGATCACATCGTCATGGAAGTCTGGGATGACGAGCAGTGGCTGCAGAACTTTCGGATGAGAAAAACCACTTTCATGGGACTGTGTGAGGCGCTTGCCCCCACCCTGCGGCGCAAGGACATGAGATTGAGAGCTGCCCTGCCAGTGGAGAAGCAGGTGGCTGTTGCAATCTGAAAGATGGCAACTCCAGACAGCTACCGGTCAGTCGCAAACCAGTTTGAAGTGGGAAAGTCGACCATTGGAATCGTGTTGATGTAAGTTTGCAAGGCCATTAATCGCATCCTACACAGAAGAACCGTGACTCTGGGTAACATGCAGGAAATAGTGGATGGATTTGCACAAATGGGGTTCCCTAACTGTGGAGGGGCAATAGATGGGACGCACATTCCTATTCTGGCACCACCCCACCTAGGATCCGAGTACGTTAATCAGAAGGGGTATTTCTCTATGGTTCTCCAGGCGTTTGTGGATCACCGTAGGCATTTCATTGACATTAACACAGGCTGGCCTGGAAAGGTGCATGACGCGCGCATCTTTCGGAACACTTGGCTGTTCAGGAAGATGCAGGCCGGGACTTTTTTCCCAGAGCAGAAGATCACGGTAGCGGAAGTTGAAATGCCCATTGTGATCCTTGGAGATCCCACTTACCCATTAATGCCGTGGCTCAGGAAACCCTACACAGGGAGCCTTGACAGCAGCAAGGAATGGTTCAACTACAGGCTGAGCCGGTGCCGAATGACTGTGGAGTGTGCCTTTGGCTGTTTAAAGGCCCACTGACGATCTCTGTATGGGAAGCTGGACTTGGCCGAAAGCAGCATCCCCGCGGTTATAGCCGCGTGCTGTGCCCTCCATAATATTTGTGAAGGGAGGGGTGAAAGCTTCACTCAGGCATGGATCTCCGAGGTTCAACACCTGGAGGATGAATTTGCACAGCCAGAAAGCAGGGCTATTACAGGGGCCCAGCGTGGGGCTGCAAGGATTAGGGATGCCTTGAGGGAGCAATTTGAGGCTGAAAACCAGCAGTGATATCTGGTGCCCTGCACGGGAGTGAAGTGCAGTAGTTCCAATCTTTAGGAATCAGTGTCTGCATAGCAGACAAGCAGACTTGCAGTGCCTGTTTATTTCCTGGGCTAAGGAGTCTTTTACTTTATGCAATAATGAAGAATGTTTTCAAAGCCAAAGAATCCATTTATTGAAAAGAAAAAAGGGGATGGAGTGGGGAACAGTGCAATCACAGATTCGTGTATGTCCTGTCTGGTGTGCTGTGCAGTGAGTGCTGCACTTCAGGATGGCTATACTGCATGGTGATGGAGGTTGAGTGCAGAGGGTAAGGGTCATGGTCTTCAGGGTTGGGTGGTGAAGATACTGATGTTGGAGGCAGCGGGTGGCGTGAAGAACACGGAAGTTGGGGAAAGTGGGTTGGAGGTGACAGTGGGGCACAACGGAAAGAATTTTGGGACAAGGGCTGTAGGGGGTGGGTGGCGTTTGCGTTTTCAGTACTGCTCCTCTTTCTGCATGGCTACCAGCTCCTGGATAGCATCTGCTTGGCGCTCCAGGATGCTGATGAGCCTATCAGTGCTTTGCTGCTGGTCCACGGTGCTTTGCCGCTGGTGCGCTGCGTTTTCCTGGTGGATCCTGCTTTCTTTCTCCCTCCAGTCCTGTGCCTTCTCGTTCTCTTTAATAGATTGCCGCATCACTTCTTGCAGCATGTCTTCTTTGCTTTTTCGCGGTCTCTTCCTGAGTCTTTGCAGTCTCTGAGCAGGTGATAAGAGGGACGGCTGAGGTCTCAAGGTTGATGCAGCTGTATAGGCAAAACGTAACATTTAACAGAGGCAGCATTGTTTATACCAGACAGAGTAATGATTCCCCCCGCACTTAAGGAGTAGAAAACACACAGGGTCTACACAATAGCATAATTTTCCTGTCCGAAACAGAGCACACATATCCCACGGGAGCCTCAAAATGGTGAGTAATGGGGACTGATTGTTTGAGGGCTGCATTGTCCTCTGGGTTTCTGTGCCTTGGGGAGAGCCAACAGCTTCAGGGGGCACCTACACTGAACACTGTCCCAACATTTTCAACAGGAGTTCGTCCTGGATGATATCTCACTGCTGAGGGTGACCTGGGAAGCAAGGGAGGGTCTTCTACTGCAATGCGGCTTCTGCCTTGGCCCATATGCAGCTTGCCTGTGTGCAGCAATGGTCCCCCCACCCCTCGCGGCACAGTGGTGCGGACACATTAGCCTGGCTGGGACAAGGACCATGGTGGCTCTCCCTATAAACCTGCGCAAGCGCATTGCACGCGTTCTGGATGAGACATTCGAAGAGATTACCGAGGCCGATTACCGTGATGTGATAAACCACATCAATGCACTATACCGCATCTAGGCATGCATGCTTAACCCTCCTCTCCCAAAGAGCCCGCACCGAAAAAATTCCTTCCCGAAAAAAAACCCCCACTTACCGGGAACCTGTTCTTCTGTTTGTCCTCCACCAAGTACCGGCCGCTGCGACTGGTTACCATCCTCCTGGCTCGAGAAGAGCTCCTGGCTGCATGGCTCCAGGGATTCCGGGGTGTCTCCATCCGGCCCAACACCATCACTCCCGTTTTCCTCCTCCTCCTCCTCCTCCCCCCCGACACCAGCTCTGAAGTGTCCATGGTCGTGCTCAGAGTGGAGGTGGGGTTTACCCCAAGTATCGCATCCAGCTCCTTGTAGAATCTGCAGGTCGCAGGGGGAGCACCCGAGCAGCCATTTGCGTCGCGGGCTTTGCGGTAGGCACTCCGCAGCTCCTTGACTTTAATCCTGCACTGCAGGGCATCCCGGTCATGGCCCCTTTCCATCATGTCCTCTGATACCTTCCCGAAGGTATCGTAATTCCTATGGCTGGAGCGCAGCTGGGACTGGACAGCTTCCTCCCCCCAAACACTGATGAGGTCCAGCAACTCGCCATTGCTCCATGCTGGGGCTCGCTTGGCACGTGGAGGCATGGTCACCTGGAAAGATTCGCTGATAGCACTCCATGCCACGCCGGGCTGAGCAAACAGGAAGGGGATTTTTAAAATTCCTGGGGAATGTAAAGGGTCGGTCACATGGTTGGTTACCTGAGGCCAGGGCAGTAGAGTTTGAACTGATGACCAGAGTGTATAGAACAGGCATTGTGAGATACTGTCGAATAATTCTGGAGGCCATTCACAGCGCATTGGGTGGCCACACTGGCGCCGCAGCGCTGCAGCAGCAGCGCTGCACTTGCTATTCCTCTCGGAGAGGTGGAGTACATGCAACGCTGCAACAAAGGAGATACAGCGCTGCAAATGCCTTGCCAGTGTGGACGGGGAGTGAGTTACAGCGCTGGGGGCGGCTTTACAGCGCTGCAACTCGCAAGTGTAGCCAAGGCCTTAGAGTAATTTTACACTTCTCTGGTGCAGAATTCTTCACCAACCACACAACATATCAGTAGCGATAGTGAGGTATAACTCCCCCAAATATGCCCTTTTATTTCTTTAATCTGGTGGCACAGATTTAAATTAGGGACTAAATTCAGGTGCTGCTTAGAATCCCTGTAAGACAACAAATGTTAGGTATCTATTAAAAAGGGGTATCTTTCTGCAGCTATATCATATTCAACATGGCTTTCAACATGGCTTCAGGGTGAGCTGAAGAGAAATGTCACTTCCATTTTTTCCCATCCCTACCTAGATAGGGATTGCATTTCCCAAATAATAGACAACATGCATCTGATTAGGAATGAGTTATCTTCAGGAGCGACCTCCTGCAGGGCCTGGGCCACAACTGCTTTAGGAGCCAAATGCATGGGTATTTTGCTTAGTTACAAATCATTTACTAGGGAATACTCTTGCCAGCCTGTTAGAAAAAATATTGACCTAACCAATTGAACAACAGGGGGATTGGAATGGTGATAGGGAATAAGGGAATCCCTCTGACTTACCCTATCTTCTTCTGTTCTTACCGAGGGTGAAATGACATTTTCCCCTATCCCTGTCTTGTTCCTGCTCTTTCTTATAGTTCAATATATTTTAAGTGAGGAAAATGGAAGTAAAAATATCTGCTTTCCAGCACAACCTGAAGCAACATCAGAGCAACTGGGAATGAAACAATTTGTTCCTTAAGGGGGAACTTGATGACTAAGAATTGCTTTGAAATGGGGGAACAGTATAACTGTGATGCTCAGAGTTTGTTTAGACTAGGAAAAGTGATGGAGTTTAGGTCAGGTCAAGGGGAAAGCTAATGCTAACCACTGCACCTGGGCTGCATCTGCTCTACAACGATAATTGTCTTTTTACACCAAGATCACTAACTTGAGCAGCCAACGCCATGTACAGTCCTAGTGGATGTAAGGCACAGGTAGTTTTTGCCTCAGTGTACCTTATTGGGATCAAACTTCTCTCTCCCTCTGGGAGCTGATGAACATTCCTAGCTGGAGGGACACACACTCCTATAACTCAAAAGGAAAGCAGCTGATAGAAAAGATCAGAGGACTGACCCCAAAGAAGGGTGAGCTGCAAAAGGCAGAAGGAAGCAACTCATGTGGTGGACCTTAAAGACCACAGTGAAGATGGTGCACAGATCACTATGTGAGAATTAGCAAATGTGATTATTTTTTTAAAAAAATCTTTGCCCAGCCCTAATCAAGGCATGTGTTACAGTTCTCTCATGTGGATTTCCTGATGTCTAATAAGATGTGAGCTCTTTTTGAAGCTTTTCCCACACTCCAAGCATCCATAAGTTTTCTCACACATGTGGATTCTCCAATGTATAATCAGGTCAGAGGTAAAATTGAAGCTTTTCCGACATTCAGAGCATGTGTAGGGGATCTCTCCTGTGTGGATTTGCTGATGTCTGATAAGGTGTGAGCTCCAACTGAAGCTTTACCTGCACTCAGAGCATGTGTAGGGCGTCTCTCCTGTGTGGATTCTCTGATGTGTGATCAGGGCAGAGATGTGATTGAAGCTTTTCCCACACTCAGAGCATATGTAGTGCGTCTCTCCTGTGTGGATTCTACGATGTGTGATAAGGTGTGAGCTCCGATTGAAACTTTTCCCACACACAGAGCATGTGTAGGGCTTCTCTCCTGTGTGGATTCTCCGGTGTCTGATAAGGTGTGAGCATTCATTGAAGCTTTTTCCACACACAGAGCATGTGTAGGGCTTCTCTCCTGTGTGGATTCTCTGATGTCTGATAAGGTGTGAACTCCTATTGAACATTTTCCCACACTCAGAGCATGTGTAGGGCGTCTCTCCTATGTGGATTCGTTGATGTCTGATAAGGTTTGAGTTCCTATTGAAGCTTTTCCCACACTCAGAGCATGTGTAGGGCAACTCCCCTATGTGGATTCTCTGATGTGTGATAAGGGCAGAGCTCCGATTGAAGCTTTTCCGGCATTCATGGCACGTGTAGCGTCTCCCTTCCAAGTTGATTGTGTCACATGTTATAAGGTCTGAGTGGCTACTGAAGTTTTCCTCTGGCCTCTCTTGAGTCTCACAAGAATTTGCTTTTGCTTGGAGTGCACAACTCCCGGAAATATTCCCTTTGGATCTTCCTGATAACGTTCCATGTGGTTCTACTTGCTCAGCATCTTCCTGCTGGGGTTTCTCCTCCTCATTCTCACTCACCATCCCATCACCTGATGGGAGACAGAGAGAATCCAGACATAGGTCACTCCCTGCGCCAGAAAGAAAGGAAATCTCAGAGAGAGGAATGGAAAAAGGGATGAACAAACCAAAAATGTGTGTGCGAGAGATCAAACCTATCAGGAGCTGATTTTCCACAAACCCTTCCACAGAGGAAAGAGGAAGGCATCAGTTTTGGTCCGCATCTCACCAGAACACTAATGGGCAAAGTGAGATCGGGGTGGGACCTCCTGCCATTTGTCAGTCAGAATACGAGGGAAGCCATGAGTGACATCTGCCAAAATGATTCCACATCTGCAGGGAACAATCCTGAACTTGGAGAGCTCACAGGGTCTTTGTAGGGCATCCTAAATGTTTCCTGCATTCCCAAACAGTTTTTGAGTTAGCTTAACCAATTCCTCACCTGTGCAGGCAGCTCTCGGGAGAATTTCTTTCTCAGCGCCCTGGAGGTCCGGGATCCACGGCTCTTCCGCTCGTTCCATCTGTGAGATCACATCAGGTTTGGAAACTGGAAACCCTACTGCAGGCAAAGAAAACAGGGGAGGTCAGTGGAATTTGTGGGATAATTGTCACAAAGAATATTCCATGGTTTTAACCCCAGCTCATTTTAAAGAAGTAACATTCCAAGGCCATCTTCCTTGGCTCAAAGTGGCAGAAGAGTTATTATTATTATAAATTATATGCATTACCTTACTGCCTAAGGGCCAACTAACAGTGGGTCTCTGTTGTGCTAGGCAAAGTACAAAGAGAGAATAGTAGATGCCCCATGCCCTAAAACAATTTACAATCTAAATAGACAAGACATATCACCCTTCAGTGGGTCTCCATTGTGCTAGGCAAAGTACAAAGAATAATAGATGGCCCATGCCTTGAATAATTTACAATCTAAATAGACAAGACAGACACAGAATGGGGGAAGGGGTAGAACCCACTGTTAGAATATAGATGTTCAGGCCTGCCTGTAAAGCCTATACTTTAAGAACTTAGGTGTGTTTTTATCACTTAGCTAGTTATAGGGGTATAAAAACAAAGAATCAAAATCACAGTCTGCCTGTGTCTGGGCCTTGTCTCACTAGGAGAGTCTGAGACCTTGTTCTTAGGCTAAGGCCTTTAGCTAAGCAGCAGGGGAAGCCATTAGCTGGGAAGCGTAGGGTCACATCCTCGTATCCCAAACCAATCACACTGAAATAAGGTGGTATTGGGCTGTTAGGAAGACGGTCTTGTCCGTACAGCGCCCATTACCACCAGATAAAGAAACAGATCTTAAGATGGTTAAAGAAAACTTAGTTTGATAGCATCCTGCCTGGCAAGAAAGTACTTATCAATAGTTGTGGTTGTGAAACCTCATTTCTGTATTGTTTTATCTTTATGGCCACCACTTTTCATTGTTAATCAGTCTGGTTCTCTAATTGTTTCTCTCTGCTGTATAATAAATTTTGCTAGGTGTAAGTTAATTAGGGTAGTGGGATATAATTGGTTAGAGAATTATGTTACAATATGTTAGAATTGGTTAGTTACATTTCAGTACAATGATTGGTTAAGGTATAGCTGAGAATATTACTCTATAAACAGGGTCAAACAGGAGAGGGGAAAGGAAATTAGAATAATAGAATATCAGGGTTGGAAAGGACCTCAGGAGGTCATCTCGTCCAAACCCCTGCTCAAAGCAGGACCAATATCCAACTAAATCATCCCAGCCAGGACTTTGTCAAGCCTGACCTTAAGAACCTCTAGGGAAGGAGATTCCACCACCTCCCTAGGTAACGCATTCCAGTGCTTCACCACCCTCCTAGTGAAATAGTGTTTCCTAATATCCAACCTAAACCTCTCCCACTGCAACTTGACACCATTACTCCTTGTTCTGTCATCTGCTACCACTGAGAACAGTCTAGATCCATCCTCTTTGGAAACCCCCTTCAGGTAGTTGAAAGTAGCTATCAAATCCCCCCTCATCCTTCTCTTCTGCAGACTTAAATAATCCCAGTCCCCTCAGAAGTCATGTATTCCAGTCCCCTAATCATTTTTGTTGCCCTCCACTGGATGCTTTCCAATTTTTCCACATCCTTCCTGTAGTGTGGGGCCCAAAACTGGACACAGTACTGCATATGAGGCCCCACCAATGTCGAATATTTGTTAAGTGGGGGGAACGGGAAAAGGGATACAGGCAAGGCTCTGCGGCCTCAGAGCTGGGAAGGGGGACACGGGGTAAATGCTCTGCAGCATCAGAGCAGGGAAGGGAACACTGGGGAACAGACTGTATTGGCGTATAGAGATAAGCCCAACTGATGTGAAGGCCTTTGGAATACGTAATCATATAGGTGTAAAAATTTTACAGGCTACATTACCACCCTGTGACATCATCAACAAAGTGCCCATTTGTGCCCTGGTAGTGGCCCTGCTATGGGAGGGAGGAATGCAGCAAGGATTCAGGATTGGTGGCCAGGGTCGCTGTGCATAGAGATGGGGAGGTTATATGAGGAGGGGGTAATGAGTGGGAGAGGGAGGTCAAGAGTTAAGATAATATTTGGGGGGAAATGTATAATGAACTGAAACTGAACAGAAATTGAACTGGAGTGTAGGCTCTAAAGCAACAAGGCTTTGGCAGGGATTTGGAGTTAAAGGTCTGGGATCCCCCACAGCTCTAGATCCCCAAACCTCTCCTCCCCCCCACTGACCCACCCAGCCCACTTTCTGGGTGCTGTTCCTCCACACTCCTCTCCCCTTCCACCCATTACTCTCAGCCCTCACCACCCCCTGGTACCTTGGCAGCTTCTTGTATTCTCTCCTTGTCTCTCACTACCTCATCCCTCCCTGCTGGGTTTGGTTTTTTTTTTTTAAAGGAGATATCCTATCTCCTAGAACTGGAAGGTCATCAAGTCCAGTCCCCTACCTTCACTAGCAGGGCCAAGTACTAATTTTGCCCCAGATCCCTAAGTGGCTCACTCAAGTATTGAACTTACAATCCTGGGTTTAGGAGGCCAATGCTCAAAGCACTGAGCTATCCCCCACCCCCTTAGTTCTAAGTTATAACCCTGCATACACCCTCCCCATGTCCTGGCACTCCAGAATTATCCCCTCCTGCTTCTCCTCCCCTCCCACAGCTCTGTTCTCCCTTCACCCATGGGGTCCTGAATGGCAACATTATACACTCTCCTATCAAAAGAGCTAATCTGCTGTCACACAAGCCATGCATGAATCATACACCTATTTACACAATTTAGAATTCTACAGGCAGCATATTTTCCTCCCTCCCCCACCTGGAGCTGATGAACATTCCTGGCAGGAGGGACACATGCTCCTACAACTCAAAGGAGTTGATTGAAAAGATCAAAGGACTGACCCCAAAGAAGGGTGAGCTGTAAAAGGCAGAAGCAGGCAACTCATCTGGGGGAGTTGAGAGACCACAGTGAAGATGGTGCAAAGATCACTAGGTGGGAATTAACAAATGTCATTAAAAAAAAATCTTTGGCCAGCCCTAGTCAAGGCATTTATTATAGTTCTCTGTCATGTGGATTTTCTAATGTTTAATAAGGCTTGAGCTCTGATTGAAGTTTTTCCCAGACTCAGAGCATCCATAAGGTTTCTCACCCATGTGGATTCTCTGATGTATGGTAAGGTGTGAGCTATAACCGAAGCTTTTCCCACACTCAAAGCATGTGTAGGGCATCTCTCCTATGTGGATTCGCTGATGTGAGATGAAGGCTGAGCTATAACTGAAGCATTTCCCACACTCAGAGCACATGTAGGGTTTCTCTCCTGTGTGTATTTTCTGTTGTATAATAAGGCTTGAGCTCTGATTGAAGCTTTTCCCAAACTCAGAGCATCCATAAGGTTTCTCACCTGTGTGCATTCTCCAATGTCTGACAAGGTGTGAGCTCTGATTGAAGCGTTTCCCGCACTCAGAGCACGTGTAGGGTTTCTCTCCTGTGTGGATTCTCCTATGTCTGATAACGTGTGAGTGCAGACTAAAGCTTTTCCCGCACTCATGGCATTCATAAGGTTTCTCACCCGTGTGGATTCTCCTATGTCTGATAAGGTTTGATCTCCGACTGAAGTGTTTCCCACACTCAGCACATCCATAAGGTTTCTCACCCATGTGGATTCTCTGATGTTTGATAAGGTGTGAGCTCTGATTTAAGCTTTTCCCACGCTCATGGCATGTGTAGTGTGTTTCTTCCAAGTTGATTCTCTCGCTTGTAATAAGGTCTGAGTGGCTACTGAAGTTTTCCGCTGGCCTGTGCTGACTATCACAGGCTTTTGCTTTTTCTGGGAGTGCACAACTCCTGGAATCATTCCCTTTTGATCTTCCTGATAACATCCCATGGGATAATACTTGCTCAGCATCTTCCTGCTGGGGTTTCTCCTCGTTCTCACTCACCATCCCAACACCTGATGGGAGACAGAGAGAATCCAGACACAGGTCATTCCCTGCACCGGAGAGAAAGGAAATCTCAGAGAGGGGAATGGAAAAAGGGATGAACAAACCAAAATATGTGCGGGAGAGATCAAACCTATCAGGAGCTGATTATCCCCAAATCTTTCCCCAGAGGAGAGAGGGGAAGGGATCAGTTCTGGGTCCTCATTGCACCATAACTCTCAGGGGAAAGCGAGATTGGGGAGGGACCTGCTGCCAGTTGTCAGTCAGGGTAGGGGGGAAGCCAAGAGTGACATCTGCGTAATGATTCCACATCTGCAGGGAACAATCTTGATCTTGGCAAGCTCACAAGGTCTTTGTAGGGCATCCCAAATGTTTTCTTTGTTCACGGATAGTTTTTGACTTGGTTTGACCAATTCCTCACCTGTGCAGGCAGCTCTCAGGAGCACTTTTTTCTCAGAGCCATGGAGGACTGGGATCCATGGCTCTTCCCCTCGTTCCAGCTGTGAGAGCACATCAGGTTTGGAAACTGGAAACCCTACTGCAGGCAAAGAAAACAAGGGAGGTCAGTGGAATTTGTGGGATACTTGTCACAAAGAATATTCCATGGTTTTAACCCCAGCTCATTTTTAAGCAGTAACATCACAAGGCCAACTTCCTTGGTTCAAAGTGGCAGGAGAGTTATTATTATTATAAATCATATGCATTACCTTAGTGCCTAAGGGCCAACTAACAGTGGGTCTCTGTTGTGCTAGGCAAAGTACAAAGTGAGAATAGTAGATGCCCCATGCCCTAAAAAATTTACAATCTAAATAGACAAGACAGACACAGAATGGAGGAAGGGGTAGAACCCACCAGCAGAGTGAACTATGTGAAGGCAGAGTGACAGATCTGATGAACACAGGCATACATCTTGAGACTATCATATTTAATGTTATGACTAGGGCCAGTATTTTCCAGAAATTGCCACTGACACTGCATTTCCCCCCCCAAATTACTCTTAATTTCTGGAATCACCCTTCAGGTCTGGAATTTCTGATCAGAGGGGGGGGGGGGCATGCAGGGTCAGAACCCCACAGATTTCTGCCCAGAGACACCTGACTCCTCCCCAGGGTTCAAGGCAGAGGCTTGCTGCAGTTGAGACTTGCTGCCAATTTCTTCCCTCTTCATACAAGTCTGGGCTCAGCAAAACCACCATGAAGATTCCCCTGGGTAGGCGGGGCCCTCTGCAGTGGGACGTCAGATTCCCTCATCATGCTGAGGAGCAGACGGCCCTCTCACCGGCTCTCGGCTGCGTTCACAGCACTTCTCCCCTGCTCATCTCCCCTGCACACAGCTGGTTCATGCCCAGTATCCCCAGCACACAGCTGGCTCTAAGCTCTCAATGTCCAGTGTCTGGGCCCCACCTCCCCCACACAGCTGGCTCCTGTCCCCTCCCCGCAATGCACTTTCATCCTGTAAAGGATAACATATTGCTCATATTTGTCAATTACTCTGTTTTCATTGCCAGCAAACACTGGCCCTAGTTATGACTGTTATCTGTATATTTGAGCCAGCCCTTGAAAGCATGAATACTTCACAGACTATGATGCTGAGATGGGCCAGATAATACCAGGGAGGGCTGCGGGATGGGTTTCCTGTGCAATCTGGTGTCACTAAGGGGTGATGATGCCAGATCCTAAAGCTGGTTATGCAGATCTCCCTCTTTTGAACTTTGCCCCATGAAGAAAGGGGCAGGGACTGATTTTACCTCTTTCAGGACACTGAAGAAGACAGACATTTTGGGGAGAAACAGCTGAGTTTGAGCTGACTGAGGGGGGTCTTTTGGGGCTACAAACTGACATGACCTGATAACCAAGATGTAAGCTTTTAAGGAAGGCTTTAATACATTTTGGAAACAATCAGTGAGTCCCAAGATGACTGATGAGAGCGCGATGGTAAATATGCATTTAGATGCTTTTCTTGTTTTATATCTTTTCCCCAGAAGGCACACTGACACTGTCATGGATCCATAGGATCTGTGCAATGCCCTGGCTTTTAAACAGTCCTTGGGAAGTGCCCCTTGAGTGCACTAGACCCCCAAGGGGTCCCACTCTTCCACAAGGATAGGCCATGTAGCTTCAACTCTTGAGATTGAGCCTCTGGCTTCAATGCTCTTATTTCAACCTGCGAGCTCTGCCAGCAGGTCCAGCTGAACGACACTCCTGTTCAGAGACTGTTCCTCAGTCAATGCACAGAGCAAGTTTTTGCTGTGACACTGGGCAGACTTTTAAAACATAGCAGGGTTTATTAGTCAACTAAAACACAGCATTGGAAAGTCCTTAGATTAGGACAGAGAAGTGAAGAAGACAATATAGTCCATACTGGCCAATGCCCTTGATCCATGCTGCTGTAGAAAACGCTTTGGTTTCCTTTCACTGTGACTGTTCATTTGTCTTCACTCCAGTAGAGCTCCCTGCGTCTGCGAGCCCAGTTCTTCCTGCTCCCAAAAACATAACGAGTCCATGTATGCTTCACTCAGCCAAGTGGAGATACTCCCATGGACAGGTCACAATTATTCCCTTGTCTCTGTCGGGTATTCCATTGTAGATTGGCTCCAGCCAGTCCTTAGTGACCCATTCATATCACCCCATGACAGATACATGACAAAACACCTCGTCTCCTGCTCGTTATGGTCATAGCAATACCAATCACAGAGGGAAACTGAGGTGTGTATTGACATCATACAAGTATCACCAAAATTCCCACCTCTATCACACACACACTGCTCACAGCCCTTGGAGGAAAAACAAAGCATAGGAACTGGATGTTAATCCAGTGAACACAGTGGAAGACAAGCTGCAATCCTCAAATCCTGGTCAAAAAGGAGAGGCATCTACGTCCCTACCCATAGAGAGGGGCTGGCTAGAGGCCTGATACCTGAGGGGCCATTCCTTGAGCAGACCATGAAGGCAGGTCAAAGGCTTAGCCACCCAAGAACTGTGACATCGCAAAAGCACATTTTGAGGAATTAGGAAATCTAGTGACTCAGGTGTAATGGGAGGGAGAATTAAACTCCCTCACTGTGTGGAGAAGGCTGGGGAATTAAACACTAAAATTCAGGAACAACAGCCTCTAATTCTTCCAGAAAAGGAGACTGTAAGAAACAAGAACTGGGCCACGCAACCTCAGGAGGGACAGGCTCAAAGATCCAGGAACCTGGAGAGAAGACAGATTGTGGCTGCTGCAGATGTGGAGAGGGGGGACAAAACTCTCCAAACTCTCACTCCTGTTGGCCCTGACCTGATTTTATCGTCTATGACCACCATGTCTTGTGGGCAATTTTATACTCGCTAGAGGTAAAATGTCATTATCAGAGTATTGCTTATTAGCTTGGAACATGCATAGAGGGGCAAGGAGGTGATCAGAAATAAATGGGTTATTAAGGGCAGGTCTAACTACAGCCGGGATTGACACTCTGAGATCGATCCACCTGTGGTTGATTTAGCGGGTGTAGTAAACACCCGCTAAATCGACTGCAGATCGCTCTCCAGTCGACCCCTGTACTCTACCCAGATGAGAAGAGTAAAGTAAGTCAACCCCCTGCAGCGTACACCCTGTGGTAACTCTACCTAAGTTATGCTGACTCCAGCTACTTTATTCATGTAGCTGGAGTTGCACAGCGTAGGTAAACTGACTGTGGTAGTATAAATGTAGCCAAAGCTTGCTACAGTTCAGGGCCTTATATTAGGTGGAGCCTTTGTGGGAGTAGTTATGCTGAAGTCTAGGATTTACCTGAATAGGTCTAAGGAGAGAATCCCAGGTCAGTTATTTTGCACCCTCATTTTGAGAGACTAACGAGTAACCACAAACAGGTGCAATACGCCACAGGATTCTGAAAGAAGGAAGTTTGGGGCAGGCTTTAGCAATTAGGTTGCTATGCAATATCTCAGCAGTTGGACCACATTCATATATTGGAATTACTAATATATAAGTGATGTAAATCATGAGTATTACTGCTTGATGCTTAATTATGGACTCCCAAAGGCCACATATGGGTTGGGGCAGCTATTGACATTACTGTAATCAGAGTAAAGGAGCAGATATGGTATAAGGCCATCCTATTACCATAATAAAATGGATAAATTACCTTTCCTAGTGACCATTTTTTCATTTTGTCAGGTCCCTGAGACAGCGTAAAGTGAAGCAGGGCATCCCTTCTGATGGTTTCCCTTGCCCCTTGATCTTTGTTTCCAATGGTATACATAACTTGTAAGTATGCACAGTGCAAGACCCTCTTAACTATACTTATCTTAGTCTAATCCTTATGTGTATTGAGCCATGCCTATGATTTCAATTATAACTGTCTGTATTAAATCAAGTTTCTGTGTATTTCACCAAATTTCATCTTCTCAATTAATTTTGAGTAGCCATGTACAAGGGCAAGCTGTACCACAATACGTAATCTTATAGGTGTAAAAATTGTACAGGCTACACTAGGACCCTGTGACATCATCAACATTTGTGTCTGGGTAGCGGCCCCGCTATGGGAGGGAGGAATGCAGCAAGGACTCCGGATTGGTGACCAGGGTCGCTGTGCATAGAGTTGGGGAGGTTACATGTGGAGGGGGGTAATGAGTGAGAGAGGGAGGTCAAGAGTTAAAATAATAATATTTGGGGAAAAAATGTATAATGAAGCAAAACCGAACAGAAATAAAACTGGAGTGTAGGTGCTAAAGCTTTGGTAGGGATTCAGGGTAAAGATCTGGGATCCCCCACAGCTCCAGATCCCTAAACCTCTCCTCCCTCCCACTGACCCATCCAGCCCACTTTGTGGGTGCCCTTCCTCCATACTCCCCTCCCCTTCATCCCATTACTCTCAGCTGCCACCACCTCCCGCCACCTTGGGAACTTCTTGTGTTCCTTCCTCGTCTCTCACTACCTCATCCCTCCCTGCTGCTTTTTAGCTCTAATCCTGCACACACCCTCCGCATGTCCTGGCACCCCAGAATTATCTACTCCTCAGCTCTGTTCTCCCTTCACCCGTGGGGTCCTGAATGTCAACGTTATACACTCTCCTATCAAAAACAACAAGGAGTCCAGTGATGACACCTTAAAGACTAACAAATTTATTTGGGCATCAGCTTTCATGGGTAAAAAACTTCACTTCTTCAGATGCATCTCCTATCAAAAGATGAGCTCATCAGACTGTCACACAAGCTATGCATGAGTCATACACCTATTTACTCAATTTAGAATTCTACAGGTGGCATATTTTCCTCTTAAAATGAGGAAAAGGCATGAAAGCTACAGTTATTAATGTAGTTACTAATGTAGCCAATAAGGATACATTCAATGCAATTTTAAAATGACTGACAGCACCAAAAAGGCACATATCCAAAAATGATACTAGTGTATAGGAGATAAGGCAAAAAAGGGGGGGCAAGGAAACTTGTCAAAACTTGTATGACGAATAAAGTATAAAGTTATTACTACTGAGGTTCTTTAGAGACCCCACAGCTTCTAATAACCGAGGGGACAGGCCTCCTTACCCAGCAAGACCACCGTCTCATAGTTCTCCTGCATGACATCCCTGTAGAGGGATCTCTGAACAGGGTCCAGCAGAGCCCATTCTTCCTTGGTAAAATACACAGCCACCTCCTCAAAAGTCACCGGCCCCTGAAAGAGAAAGAGTCCAACACTCAGTACCTGCAGCCCCACTCACAACCGCACTATTCACAGAACAGCAGCACCAGGTAAATGGAAGCTCCAGGAGGCACATGTTAACAGAGTCCCACCCCACCTTGCCTAGAGCAGCCAGGAGGCATCAGAGGGTGGTAAGAGAGAAACTTTGTGTCTCCCAGCTGACAGACGGAGGCAGGGTTGTCACATTTATCACATACCTACTAGCCAGAGCTTGATATAGAAGATGGGGCTGTCTTTGGACCCTGCTGGTAGCTCCCTGGTAGGAATCCCAACACTCTCCAAATAAAATATATGGAAGAAAGGCGAAGTCAATAGTAAAGAAAATAAGTTAGAAGGTAAGAATTGTAGAAAGTTGGTAAGGGAAGCTATCAGAAATCAAGGATCAACCAATGAAAATAAGAAGGAAGTTTTAAAAAGTATATTAAGTACAAAATTAATCCTAACAATGGTAGTGGTAAATTACTAGAAGGAAATGGCAGAATTATCAAAAATAATGCAGAAGAGGTAAAAGTGTTCAATAAATATTTCTCTCCTTGAATAAAAACAGATGATGTAACTCATATCATAAGATGTTGAAGCCGACAGTCTTTCCATTCCAAAAGTAACTCACGAGGATGTTAAACAGAGGATATTAAAGTTAGATGGGTTTAAATCAGTGGGTCCAGATAACTAGAGTTTTGAAAGACCTGGTGGAGGAGCGTGGTGGACTGTTAATATTGATTTTAATTAGGACTTGGAACACTGGGGAAATTCCATAAGACTGGAATAAAGCTAATGCTGTGCCAATATTTAAAAACTATAAAAGAGATGACGCAGCTAATTACAAGAGTGTCAGTCTGACATCAATACTGAGCAAAATAACGGAGCAGTCAGTACTGGATTTCATTAATAAAGAATTAAAGGAGGGTAATATAATTAGTATCCATTAACAAAGGTTTAGAGAAAATAGATCCTATCAAACTAACTGGATATCCTTATTGGATGAGATCAAAAGTTTGGTCACAGCTAATAGTATTGATGTAATATACCTAGACTTCTGTAAGGCAAAGGGATTTCTAGCTTGTGTATGGAAACTTGGTGGACTGCTTCTATCACACTCAGGGTGAGAAATTGCTAATTCAAATTCTATTCATCTAGTATGCTAGGCTTGGTTTGAGTTTTTGATATTTGCTAAGTAATCTGCTTTGATCTGTTTGCTACCACTTATGGCTCGGAAATTAGCTGTTGTCTTCTGTCTGTCCTTGAGTGGCTTAGGTAAAGCACTCAGGTAGCTTAGTTGGATGCATGGCACCACCTGCTGTTCTGTTGGGTGATAACAAGGCTAAATCTCCAGCAAAGCAGTGTGAAAAGGGCCAGCCCAGCTTGAGGGTTAGAGGGCACAGCAGTTCCCAGAAGCCTCCCAGACTGCACCCCGGGGTGACAACCCATCACACCCTACATTACACAAGCCTCAGCAGGTTTTTCACATCCTGTCCCCTCCCTTTCTCCACCCGAGATATTTCCTGCCTCCCACCACCTTTAGCAGCTCCCACCCTCCCATGCATTTACTGCTCCTCTCCTTCCAAGCAGAACCCACCACCCTGATAATCCCTTACCTGAGCCAGCTCCATTGCAGCCATTTCCTTCCCCCTCGGAGGATGGGATGATGTGGAGCAAAACGTGGATGTTAATCTGTAGCCTGCCAAGGAGAGAAGGGCAATGTGAGAGAACTCAGATGGGGTTTTTGTCCATTCCACATGTCGATTCCCCCCAGGATTTTCCCCTGCTAATGGACATTCTAGATTCTGCCACACTGTGAAGCACAGAGTGACCTTATTCCAGTACAGGCCTAGCCCCCTCCCACTAGAGTGTAACCCTCTGAGACATGGTGAAACCCTCCCAGTAGCAGAGTCTCTCTGTTACACTCATAAAGTTTGCAGGCGATACCAAACTGGGAGGGGTTGCAAGTGCTTTGGAGGATAGAATTGAAATTCAAAATGATCTGGACAAACTGGAGAAATGGTCTGAAGTATATAGGATGAAATTCAATAAGGAGAAATCAAAGTACTTCACTTAGGGTACGTCTATAGTACGAAATTAATTCGAAGTTATTTTATTCGAATTTCCAGAATCGAGTTCATACATTCTATGTTATGTGTCCCCACTAAAGCGCATGAATTTGGCGGAGTGCATCCACAGTACCGAGGCTAGAATCGAATGTCGGAGCCGTGCTCTGTGGTAGCTATCCCACAGTTCCTGCAGTCTCTGCCGCCCATTGGAATTGTGGGTTAAGCTCCCAGTGCATGATGGGGCAAAAACATTCACGCGGGTTTTTCTGGGTGTGTGCCGTCACTCGCTCCTCCCTCCTTGAAAACTATAGCAGATGCCATGCTGCCAGCAGATGGTGCAGCCCGGTGCACCGCCTGTCTCCTGGTATGTTGAATCCACTTCGAATGTCTTCGGCCATCATGAACAGAGCTCCACAGCTTCCGACGCTTTCTCCAGATTGTCTGTGCTGGGCTCCCGTGGAAGCTACAGAAGGCAACAATTCCCTGCCATTTCTCGGCCATCGTGAACAGAGTTGCACAGCTTCCACCGCAAACTCTGCTCACGTTTCCACCGCAAACTCTGCTCTCGCCACTTTTTCAATGTTGTTGGTCCTGGGCTCCCGTGGAAGCTACAGAAGGCAACAATTCCCTGCTGTTTCTCGCCCATTGTGAATAGAGAACAGATCAGACAATCTGGAGAAAGTGGCGGAAGCTGTCCTGGGCTCCCGTGGAAGCTACAGAAGACAACCATTTACCGCCTTTTATCAGCCATCTTGAACCAAACAGCTCATTTTGCGCCCTTTTTCAAGGATTACCCATGCAGGCGCCATTGCGCAGCAAACATGGAGCCCGCTCAGATCTCTGCTGCAGTTTTGACCATTGTAAATACCTCACGCATTATCCAGCAGTATGTTCTGTACCCGCAAAACCAGGCGAGGAAGCGACGACAGTGCGATTACTATACTGATGAGGACATGGACGCAGACGTTCCTAGATGCATTGCATGTGGCGATTGGGAGATCATGGTGGCATTGGGCCAGGTTCATACGATGGAATGCCAATTTTGGGCCCGGGAAACAAGCACAGACTGGTGGCATCACATAGTGTTGCAGGTCTGGGATGATTCCCAGTGGCTGCGAAACTTTCGTATGCATAGGGCCACTTTCATGGAACTTTGTGCCTTGCTGTCCCCTGCCCTGAAGCGCAAAGACACCAAAATTAGAACAGCCCTCACAGTTGAGAAGTGAGTGGCCATAGCACTGTGGAAGCTTGCAATGCCCGACAGCTACCGGTCAGTCGGGTATCAGTTTGGAGTAGGCAAATCTACTGTACGGGCTGCTGTGCTGCAAGTAGCCAATGCAATCATTGACCAGCTGCTATCAAGGGTAGTGACTTTGGGAAATGTGCAGACCACTGTGGATGGCTTCAATGCGCTGGGGTTCCTTAACTGCGGCGGGGTGATAGACAGAACGCATATCCCTATCTTGGCCCCAGTACACCGGGGCGGACAGTACATAAACCGCAAGGGGTACTTTTCCATAGTGCTACAAGCACTGGTGGATCACAAGGGATGTTTTGCCGACATCAACGTGGGATGGCCAGGAAAGGTGAATGACACTCGTATTTTCAGGAACTCTGGTCTGTTTGAACAGCTGCAGGAAGGAACTTACTTCCCAGACCAGAAAATTACTGTTGGGGATGTTGAAATGCCTATAGTTATCCTTGGGGACCCAGCCTACCCCTTAATCCCATGTCTCATGAAGCCGTACAGAGGCACCCTGGACAGTAGTAAGGAGCAGTTCAGCTATAGGCTGAGCAAGTGCAAAATGGTGGTAGAATGTGCTTTTGGACATTTGAAAGGGCGCTGGTGCAGTTTATTAACTCGGTTAGATCTCAGCACAACCAATATTCCAATTGTAATTGCTTCTTGTTGTGTGCGCCACAATATCTGTGAGAGTAAGGGGGAGACTTTTATGGCAGGGTGGGAGGTTGAGGCAACTTGCCTGGCTGCCAATTTCGCACAGCCAGACAACACGGAGATTAGAAGAGCGCAGCAGGGCATGCTGCGCATCAGAGAAGCTTTGAAAGCCAGTTTCATGACTGGCCAGGGTATGGTGTGACAGTTGTGTTTGTTTCTCTTGAAGTTACCCACACCCTATATATATATATATATATATAATAAAAGGAAATAAAGTACT